TCTCTCTCTCCTCATACCACTATTGACTATTAAACAACTCACACACAGCGATGCTATACGTTAACCACAATTCAGGTGACGGGGAGGGGGGCCTAACGATCCTATAAACCACATTATTCATATCTGAATTGTGGCTAAAAATGTATAGATAATGCTAATTTATAATATTTGTAATTCTGCATAAAGTATACATAATTTAAATTTTAATTACTCAGTGGTCATATGATATAAATTAAATATATACTTAATTTAGCAAATCTATTGTATATTATCAATACTCTTACAAACATTTCGGTTTATTTTATACTATTAATGTGTAAATAATGTAAAAATTATTCACTTAGTCATTGGACCCAATCCGAATCACAATTAAATAAGGATTAAACAATTATTAAAACAAGTTAATTAGATTTAAATGTCAAGTAATATATTCTACTTGTGTAGACATAAATGCAAACAATTTATTACAAAACATGTGCACACATTTTACCGCTATATTTGAAACACTTTTCAAATAATAAATAATTATTCAAATCATTAAATTGTTATTAATAATGTATACAACTGTGAAATATATTATCTAACTTTTAACACTGATTAATTAAGTATTATTTAAACAACTCACACACACACCAATGCTATAATCTATAGGTTAAACATAATTCGTGAAATGCATGAAAGATTTTAAATTATGGTTATATACATAATTGTAAACATAGAACATCAAGAAATGCCATTTACTTTTACTATTCCACCTATACATTTACTTCAAATATAGGTGAAGTAGCATTTATTATCGGTCGGGTGTAAATGTAAGATTAAGTTATTTCTATAGTCAATCATTTCAATATCAACTTGTAGTGTACAGTATTTAGTGTATAATATTAATATAATAAAATTAACGATATAACATTATTATCATTTTCTAGTTATTTGAAATTTTACTGAAATCTCGTCAATTACACATAACATTCAAACCATTGTGTTACGCAAAATGTTACCAATTTGTAGCACTATATTTTGGGTAAGTTTTACTTGTTAAATGAATTACATATTATAATTAAAACATTTAATTTGAATGTGAAATGAAATTTGTAATCATATTATTTATCAATTAATAAGGATTGGGATCTTTCGTGGAATTGCAAAACGATTCCCGAATTTAGCCCATGTTTTGAGAACACAATATTGGTTTGGATTCCATGTCTTGTATTCTTCATACTATTCTTTTGTGAGAGTTTGAGGACATTGTTCACCAAAGACAGGGAGAAGACAGCTCTTCCCTGGGCTGGCATTGATTTAGCAAAAATTGTGAGATTTTAATATAATTATATTCAATAATAAATCAGTTAAATCCTATTTATAGATTTTGGCCATAATCTTATTTGTTGTAAATATGAGTGAATTATTTCACACTTGTTATCGATATGGGATAAAATATGATATGAATCTATCATTAATTGATTTTATAACACCTATTATTAAATCACTTACTTTTGTAAGTATTAATTTAATTACAGTAAAAGATGATTTGTTTGAACTAAAAAAATTCAGTTTTATTTCACACAATTGAAATTTTAACCACAATTCATATATGAATAATTTGGTTTATAGATTTGTTAGGCTACTCTCCTCCCTCCCCCTCCCTCTCTATGCAATTTAATATTATATTACAACTTTATTCTATGGCTATACTTCAACATGGTGCTAATGTAATTTTAAGTGTAATGTTAAGTCTATGCAATTAATGTTAATCTTATAAACAATGTTAAGTTTATGTGAAATGCTTTGTCTAAAGACAATGATAACCCTATAGGACTAATGTAACTTTTATGACAATGTTGAGTCTATGGGGATTATAAGTCTATGGCAACGCTATTTCTACAAGCTAATGTTGAATCTGTAGATATTGTTAATCTATTCTTTGAGCGTCAATCAAATTGTGGTTAAAGTATAGCATCGTTGTGTGAGCCTTGTTTTACCATTGAGTATATATTATGTTTTTCTAGTTCTTACAAATTGTTAATTTACACAAATGCTACTTTACACAGTTGGCCTTTTACTGTAGTTTAATAAGTATTTTATTTTTGATACTTTAATTTTATAGAAAGTATTTCGTTTAACAGTAATTGTATTTCAATATTTAGATATATTTCATACATAGAATACAAATGCATCGGAAATACAGAATTTATTCTTCAGCTTCTGTTTTCATATTTTGGTTACTCTTATCAATTAAAAGTGCTCTCAATTGTATTACAATAATTCGGCACATTTTTGATACAAAAAGTGTGAGTCTGTAATGAAACAAAAATGGTAATTTTAATAATATTGTATCATTTATTTATATTAAAAATAAGAATTTCTCAATCAATGAATTGGAAGTAACGGCGAGAATGGTTTTGAATTGCATAATTTTTGTTCAATTATTTCTCTCATGTTTTTCAATGTCGACAAAAATTAATTCAACAAATGTAACAATAATATTACGTTTCATGGTTTTATGTCCACATTTTAATAACTTATTACTCTTTTCATAGAAGAAATGTCCCAAAAAATATGTCTCATTCATATCGCAAATCACATTCAATTGGTTTAGTGAACTCATTTTCAAGGGATACCGAAAACCATTGACATCTGAAGACATGTGGTATTTAGACAATCACAACACTACTGATTATATTCACAAAAAATTCAACAAAATTTGGTTAAACTTAATCGAAAAGCAGACGAAAAGTAAAACTTTAAAAAACAAACAAAAACCATTTTACATGAATATTACTACTCCACTGTTGAAATGTTATTGGATGCAATTATTAAGTGTCAATGTATTTAAACTAACCGCCATTTGTTTAACATTCATAAACCCTATAGTACTCGATAGACTTATTTCATTTATGAGTCCCTCTAATGCTGAGCCCCAGTGGAGGGGTTTATTCTACGCCTCCCTTATGTTTATTGCCCCTCTGGTTGAATCACTATTTAACAGTCAACACGAATATCGGGTTAATGTAATTGCCATGAAAATCAGAGCAACACTTATATCAAGTATCTATAAAAAGGTAGTAACGCTTGTATTTAAAAATGAATGTCAATGTGTTTATAACAAGACGGTCAATTAATCTTCAGTATGTCCTTTTCTTGATAACTATAAGTAAATATATAATAGATAATATAATTCTGTAAAAAACATATAATAGTATCATATACGCTTTAAATGTGCTAAATGACTATTTTGGTTTTATAACTTGGTTAGAAATAGGCAAACTATGTTATGACATATTAAATGAACTCATTTGATGAATGCTACAAGATAGCTGGATAGTTCCTTTAAATATTAAAAAGTACAAGATTATTATTTACGTCTAACCCTATATAAAATTACCAAGAGCATGGTTAAGTTGTTTAAGTAATTTAAGAGTACAATCTAAAATACGTGATAATAAGCATATTGTTTAAAAGGTTGAAAAAAGATTAAACCATTTATTCCCGTATAACCGGATAATAGTGAGCAGTCAACTATAACGTCAACTATAACGTCAACTATAACGTCAACTATATAGAGGAGAGGGGAAATAGGAAGAGATTTTGTAAGGCATTTATTTTGTAAATAATGTAACGATATATAGTGATGAATATTTATAGATAAGCAGGGCACAACATATATTATGTCTAGGTAAAATAGTAAAATCAGACACGGTGATAATAAGTGAGTTTAAACTAGTTAACGTATGAATGGTCTATAACAATTTGATGGCAATGTTAAGTCTATGAAAAATACAAAGTCAATGGAAAAATTAATCATACGGTTTATTATTAAACCTACAGAAATACTTCGGATAAATGGGTAGTGCTAATTTATCAAGTATTCTGTATAATAAGTCATTTTTGCTTTTACTGCTTAAATAATGAAAATTGTTGTCAGTTTTTTTTTCAAAAGTTATGATATTTAACATATAAAACCTAAACGACTTGACCGATTTAAATAATTTTATAACTTTTGTATTAAGCATGCGTTTTTCCGTTTACAAATGTCGCATTGAAAACATTTCTATATCTCATATAATTTTACGACTAACATAGTGATTTAGAAGGTATATGTTATTAAGAATACCACGTGATCCACATTGATCAATAGGGTATACACAAAAAACTGTGTACATGACACTATTATATATTTTTAAAAGAATTTACTTATTTGATATATTTCACAAGTTATAACAAAATCGCGACGTGCGAGATACATTGAATGCCACTTTATATAATTCCATATAATAATAGCATTGATATTCTAATATTACTTCTATAAATACTTTATGAAAACAGAGTTTAAATTTATCGAGTTTTGGTCGGAAGAACTTTACTTTGGGTGAAATAGTAAACTTAATGTCTGTCGACATTCAGCGTATATCAGACTTTATGTTAATCGCAACCATCATATTGTCGGCGCCCTTTCAGATCACAATAGCTATGATCCTATTGTGGCAACAATTAGGTGTCGCAACTCTCGCCGGCGTCTTATTTCTGGTCATTTTAATGCCATTCAATGGATATATGGCTAATAAAATAAGAAAATATCATCTTATGCAAATGAAAATTAAGGATAATAGAATTAAAATATTAAGTGAAACGCTGAACGGTATACGAGTAATTAAATTGTATGCTTGGGAGAAAGCTTTCAGTGATCAGGTGCTTAAAGCTCGAGACCAGGAGGTGAATGCACATAATAAAATGACCATATATTCAAGCGCAATAACATTTATGTTTCTATCATCTCATTTGTTTGTATGTTGCATCATGCACATTAAATTGAATTAGTGATAATTTGATTAAATTATTTACCATAGATCTGTTTAATAAGTTTTATGGCGTTTGCATTATTCTCTCCAAATAATATTCTGGACGCAAACAAAGCGTTTGTTTCACTGACTTTGTTTAATTTAATGAGTAAATATTTTAATATAAATTTATAATTAGTAATGTGAGATTATTTACACGTTTAGGATTACCGCTCGGGCGTACTTTTGAATTATTGTCAAAAGGTGGACAGGTATTAAACTTTAAATATTAAATCATCTATAATTACTATTAATAGAATTTAGTGTTTGGTATCCCTTAATAGAATCAATGATTTCATAAATGCTAAAGAAGTTAATGAAAATACAATTTCAAATGATAAACACAAAACTCCTTTAATATCAATTAAAAATGCGACATTTTCTTGGAATAAAAATATTCCTCCGGTTCTGAAGAATATAACGCTGGAAGTGTTTGACCCAAAATTAGTGGCTGTCGTGGGTTCGGTGGGCGCCGGGAAGTCATCACTTTTATCGGCACTTTTTGGTGAACTGGAAATTCTTGAGGGAAGCGCTTGTGTTAACGGAAGCGTCGCTTATGTGCCACAAGAGGCGTGGATTCAGAATAAGACACTCAAAGAGAATATTGTATTCACTAATGAATTGAATGATGAATACTATGAACGAGTGCTCGAATCGTGTGCTTTAGTGCCAGACTTGGCTCAACTTTCGGACAGAGATTTGACAGAAATCGGGGAAAAGGTATCAATTTATCCGGCGGTCAGAAACAGAGGGTTTCAATGGCGAGGGCTGTCTATTCAGACAGAGATATCTATTTACTCGACGACCCGTTAAGGCATTTATTGTTGTTATTAATTTGAAAACTATCTAAATTGTCTGAATTTGTATAGCGCTGTCGACACACATGTGGGCAAACATTTGTTTGACAAAACTATTGGAAGAAATGGTTTATTAAAAAACAAAATAAGAATTTTGGTTACAAATTGTGTCTCAATTTTACCAAATGTTGACCAAATTGTGGTCATAAAGAATGGGTACGTTTCTGAATTGGGAACTTTTGATGAGTTAATCTCGAAAAATGGTTATTTCGCCGAATTTGTGACCGAATATCTGTTGAAAGAGTCGGACAATGATCTCGAGAAACAAGTTATTTATTCTTCACTTAAAGACAAATTGTGTGTTAAAAAAGTTACTAATCAAACAAATAGTGAATTTAAAAAGTCTGATTCAAAAAATGATTGGAAGAGTGAAAGAGGTATTAAATGTGAGAATATTATTAGAAAAAAATCAATTCTTACAAAATGTGGAAAATTAACAAAAACAGAAATTTCAAACACTAGTTCTGTTGGACTCAAAATCTACGCAAAATATATTCATTCAATTGGTCTCTCATTTTGTTCATTGATTATCATGTCTTCAATCGCGTCAATAGTGGCTCAGATATTATCGGGCCTTTGGCTGAGCGAGTGGTCCGACGACTCCCTCGACGCCAATAAAATAAATGACACAAATCTTCGTTATATAAGACTCGGAGTTTACGCCGGAATCGGTGTCTTTGACACAATGTTCACTATAATGACAAATATATTCATTTGTTTGGGATGTCTTAGAGCTGCGATACATTTGCATAACGTTATGTTAAACAGGATATTGAAAGCGCCTCTACTTTTTTACGGTACAAATTAATTTCAGATTAATTACAGTAATTATGAATAAAATACTTTCTTAGATACGACACCAAACGGACAAATACTGAATCGGTTCAGTCGTGACATAGATTCAGTCGATATTTCTCTTGTATTCAGTCTTCGGATGACAATACCAATGGGTTTGAGAATATTTGTCTCTTTATTAATGATTACATTTCAAACTTATATAATTTGTATTGCAATCTTTCCCTTATTATTAATGTATTATTATATCTTAAAAATATATATTCGGAGCTCTCGTCAACTCAAACGCATTGAGTCGACCACTCGTTCCCCTATTTATAGTCACTTTAGTGAAACAGTTAGCGGTTCCGCAAGTATTAGAGCGTATGGAGTGTCCCATCAGTTCATACAGGAGTCTAATAGACGGGTCGATGCAAACCATATGTGTTATTATCAACGCTTTACAGCCACGTGTTGGCTCACAATTAGTCTTGAGTTTTTGGGCTCTATTATTGTATTATTAACGGCAATATTTGTTGTGTTAAATCGATACAAACTAAGTCCGGGTATTGCGGGTCTGGCTATTAGTTATTCACTTAATATAACGAGTGTTTTGAAATCATTTGTAAAATCGGCGTCAGGTCTAGAAACTAATATAGTATCGGTTGAGAGATGTCTTGAATACACAGAAACTCCGACAGAAGTATTTAATTATCAAATTTTAAATAATACAGATATTTAATATTTAAATAAATTACATGTAATTTTGAAATTCATTGATAGGCCGAGGGGTACGACGAGATTACTAAACCTTCGTCTGATTGGCCCGAAAGGGGAGAAATAAAGTTTAAAGATTACAGCACTAGATATCGGGAAGGATTGGATTTAGTGCTCAAATCGATTACATTAGAAGTGAAACCCAAAGAAAAGGTGGGAATAGTCGGCAGAACGGGTGCCGGAAAGTCATCGCTAACTCTGGCGCTGTTCCGACTCATAGAACCGGTCGACGGATCCATATTTATAGACTCAGTGGACATCAGAACACTTGGTTTATATGACTTGAGATCTCGGCTAACAATTATACCTCAAGACCCGGCGCTCTTCACCGGAACATTACGTCTCAATTTGGATCCATTCAACCAATACTCAGACACTGATATCTGGAGGGTCTTAGAGTCGGCACATCTCAAGCAATTTGTGGACACTTTGGAGAAGGGATTGACTCATGAAATCTCTGAAGGCGGAGGAAATCTAAGTGTTGGACAAAAACAGTTGATTTGTTTGGCCAGAGCTTTGTTGAGAAGAACTAAGATTTTGGTGTTGGACGAGGCGACCGCTGGTATCACTTGTTTTGTCATTTAATTTAGTATTAAATTAATGTTTAACATTGTATTTAGCGGTTGATATGGAAACGGATGACTTAATCCAAGAGACGATTAGAAAAGAATTTTGTTTGTCAACTATTGTTACGATCGCTCATCGATTGAATACAATCATAGATTACGACAAAGTGTTGGTAATGGATGAGGGAATGGTAGCCGAGTTTGATTCACCACAACATCTCTTGGCGGACACTAACTCTATCTTCTATTCAATGGCTAAAGAGGCAAATCTCGTCTAAATTCTTAATTATTTTTAACCACAATTCAGTATGAATAATGTGGTTTATAGGATCGTTCTGCCCGGGCTGTATTTCGGCATGTATTACCGCCATGCGTATAGCAATCAATAATCGTTTACACAAATACTCTACCATGAGCGGGTCCGTCTTCAGAGGCCATT